TGATCTGTTTTCTGCTCAGGAGGTGTCATGAGTCTACTTCTTCCGTCACTGTGTTCTTTACATTTTAGTAAAAAATTAATTTCTGTTTCAATTTCATTACAGTGGGGGCACTTACGATTCTCAGTAGGGGTTTTAAGAGATGAAAAGCGACCCCCTTAAATTTCCAAGTCGTGGTCACTAACCCGAATTTTCGCAATAGTCTTTATTTCTGATCTCTGATCTCTTTTATGATCAAGACCCCAATATTGTATAAATGTTCTGATTGATCTAAACCAACAGGCTCCTTGTTCTTTTTGGTCCTGTTCATAGTTGTTTTTAATCAATTTGCTGGAAGGCAGTTCTTTCAGCCTGGCACTGTATCTCTGTGTCTGTTTTACAACATCAAAGTAGAGTAGGAATCTTCCAAATTCAGCTCTACAGGCATTGTTCATAGCATTTTCCCGTACACCTAGTACACATTTGCACATCTTAGATGTAATTGTTCGAAAGGCAATTAAAATAAATTTTGAAAGTGACATTTGTTTTTCCTTGAATATTTCTTCAGCCCATACTTCACATCCATACAATAAGATGTACTTGATGATTGTGTCGATGAGTTTCAAATTAATTGGGGGAGGTGATATCTTGTTTCTTGATATCGTGATATTTTCCCTTTTTAGTAAATATCATAACCTTGGACTTTTTCTCGTTTATGATTAGTTTCCACTATTTACAATATGCTTGCAGTGCCGTTATTTTGTTTTGTAGACCGTCTTTAGATGCAGATAATAGGACAAGGTCGTCTGCTTACAAGATATGAAAATTCGCCTTGAAGTCATCCATATATAAATTAAAGAGCGTGGGATGAAGATTATCCTCTTAACGAATCCCCAGTCTCGATAGAAATGGGGTTGTGTAACCTTCACCTACCGAGATGCCTAATCTGGTGTATCTAAACATGCTTTTTATGGCACGGTAGAATTTGCCATGAATCCAGAGTTGAAGCAATTTCAGTAAGAGTCTTTTGTGCCACACTGAATCAAAGGCTTTTCTCATGTCGATGAAACATGCATATATTTTTTTCCTTTGGTTGAGATACCTGTTGACTAGTGATTTCAAAGTACAGATATGATCTGTTGTTCTATAACCTGGCCTGAAGCCTGCTTGCTCTTTGCTTAATTTGTTTTCATTGTTAATATGTTGAATGAGCCTATGTGCTAAAACTGGATTAAATAATTTTCCTAAGCAACTTGTTATGCAAAAACCTCTATATTTTGAAGGGTTCACGTGCTCTCCTGATTTAAACAGTGGGATTATAATTCCTAGGTTCCATGAGTCAGGAATTTCAGATGTATTAACCACCCAGTTAAACAATTTAGTGAGCACAACTGCAAAATACTGTGCCCCAGCATTCAGCATTTAATTTCTCACCATAGGTGATTTCCCGTTTTTCAGATTTTAATGGCATTTTTAACCTCTTTCAATGTAATTGGTTTGTCAAGCACTGCTTCCCCTGGGAGGCTTTCATGAGATTTAATTTCATTATCTAAGTACTGGTCACCTTCAGGAGGGACCCCACACAAATGGTAGTAGTGATTAAACTAATTGGACTAATCAAGCTTTGCTGCTCTTTATCTTGGTTTAGTTTTTTAAGGGTTCACCAAAATGCTTTAGTGTTTTTATAAGAACAGAATGTTCAGCCAGGCGAGCGTTTGCTGTAAAACGTCTTGCGTATATTTGGATGATTTTTATATTTGGAAGAGCGCCTCTGTACGTTGGTCCTCAAACTCATACCTTAATTTCTATGGTCTGATTAAAATATAGCAGTATTTGAATTAATTTGTCTTATTAATCTTCGTTGTGAATAATTCAAGTTGCTTCGAGGAAGCAATCCATCAAACAGAAGATAGTTTACTGTCGATTTTTCGGCGAAATGAACACATGCAATCAGAAACCATATTTTGTCAACTTTCAATGACTTCTAATTCACCCTCTCAATGGTTTCTCCTTTAAAAGACCATTCCCGTTAATTTTGCTATTTTCTGTTTGAATAGTTTGTAGGCCTACTTCTTTCCCAGATGACATGTCTTGCCATATTCTTATTTATTAATAAAATCACTATCAGTCATGCAAAGCGAAAAGAGCAATGGATGCATGTAGGGACTGACCTATCCTGTAGTTATTAAATTTATATGAAAACAACCAGTAGGATATAAATAAGCTGCACCAGAATAATGCACATCCCCAAGTATAGTAATTTTGATAATACAGACACCTTTCCCTAAAAATCAATGCTTTTTAGCACATAAAATATTGGTTCAATAGCCTATAACAAATCTATGGTGATCAATACAAAAATCAGAGTCCAAAAACGCAATGTTGGAGTTGAGCGTTTAGAGAGTTCAAACTGTCAACTCTCTGAAAAGGTGATTGATCTGTCTTCTTCTTTTACTGAATACCGCACTCTATCTATTTTTCTGTAATAATAGATATATTTGTATATACCACGAAGGTATATTCCCAACCCTCCAGTATAAAACCTCTTGAATGGCTTCAGTCTCTTCAACCCATTAGACACTTTCTCCCTTACGAAGCTACAATGTTGTGATTTATGATAACAGTCGATCTGTGGTAAACCTAAAGGCTAAAGGCTATAGTTTGGTGGAGGTCAGATCTCATCTACCCCAAAATTCAACTTTATATCAAGGCATAAAACATCCCTTTTATAGTCAAGCTGGCAACATCTATTCGTTTAGACCTAACACCCTTAATATAACTTTGGATCTGCCATCCATTGACTTGCTCGTATTTGACCTATGTAATGGTCATTGATTACTGTGGAAAAGACAGAATCCAAAATATTAGCAAAAATATAGCTTTAAAACCTATAATATTATTGCAAACCCAAATTTTCGAGAGTGTGACAGCTATTCTGAGCAACAGTTCATGAACTAGAGATAATTTGCACTAGAGTTACATGTAGTTGAAAAAAACAAGCATTTGAAGTGTTCACCAATTGCCTCATAATTGCCAAAATATGCTGTAAGATTTATACATAGAATGAAATTTCAGAAAAATACATCCTGGGAATACACAGTCCCTGCTAAATTTGACGTTTGAGAAGGTATTATAGATAATGGATGTGCGTCAGGAATATTGATAAAGAGCTGACAGGGATTTGAGGACTGGCCAGCTCTTCTTCAGTAAAGTGTAGCACAAATAAATGCAGCCACCCCGTGGAGGCATTTCAATCTTGTCCTAATTGCAACTTGTACAAGCTGTTATTGTTAATCTTTGTATTCGTTTCTTATTTCTTTTATATAGCAGGCAAACTACAAGATTAGCGTATATGTAGGTAGCGGGGGAGGGCAAACGCCCTCTATGACAGGACAAGTAAAGTTGAAATTTATAAATAAAGAAACCCTTGACAAAATTTCCGGAAATATTCAATTTGTTCCACTACTCCTGCACCTGCCAGCTTCAAAACTGGTAAAGAGGTTTAAAGACGTTTTTTTTTCTTCGGAGATTGATTCAGCGATTACATTTTTTTCATTTCCGGTTAAATAAAACGGATATTACATTCATTACTTAAAAGGATAAAACGGTCGTCTGAGACATAAGAGCAAGATATGTAAATTGTAAAAAATGACAGATATAAGACAATAAAATATAATCTGTTTCTTTTCACTTTAATGATACAACTTTTATTCAGGACATAAAAACAGGATATTTGAAGTGAAAATATACAGATACACTTGAATTGTCTTGTTAAGCATTTCCCGAGGTTGATTTATCTAATATAACCACTGTTTTACCGTATAAGAAATGAAGTCGGGCAATTTTTCTCATTAAAGTATACATGGACAATCTTAGAGCGAACCAACAGGGAATTTCCATTAATCTTCATTATCAATATTGGCATTAAAATTGTAAAGATAACCTCGAGTGATCTGCTGCCAATACAGCCAAAACGAGAGCATCTAATTTCCAAATTACGCATAGCACAATCGAAAGTGTGCCGTTTTTATGCCCGAATCCCTACGAGTAGACTAATGCCGTCCCGTTGACAGCAATTCCATTTTTAGACTGTCGTAGAATTGTACATTGACGACCCAAGGATCTTTGTACTATTTCTCGTTCCGTGAAGTTAGTGTATATTCATGAACTACTTTTAAAGCAAAAGGTGCGTTTCTATAAATGAAATCCTTCTATAGAATAATTTAAGATTTTTCACAAAATCAATGAACAATGAAAATTGATTAGTCAAATAAATATCTTTCTGAAGCATTATAGTTCGATGGTCCTTAACATAAAATATTTTATTTAATGCGCCAGAGATATACAAAAGACCCTTTTTTTCAATTTATTATAGGATTTGATTCCTTATGATATAAACACATATGGCTGATACTTTACAAAAGTGAAAGACCCTAGAAAATGGATCATATAATTAGCTCTATCAACAGTATCTGTAGTATTATTGGTCACATAAAATGTTGGATCAGACAATGTACTCTGATTTTCAATCAGCTAATACACGGAGTTGAATAGACAGATAGCTAGTATCTTTTTATCTGTTATTTCCCACGCCATTGGCCATTAATTATCAAGTCGCTCCGTGGCTAGATCCAGTAGATAATTCTTCTAAAGCATCACGGTGGCTACTCCTTACACTTGCCCGATGGGTAATTTTACACGGCAAGCACGTGTTCACGTGTTCTATGCAAGTAACCTGTCCACACAGCGTAACCGTTTTGCTCTCCAGTCATACAACAGAAGTATAAAAACATGCTGAACATCAATAGTTATTTTTATGATCAAAGAAATGCGGCATGTATAGGTGGACGTCATAACAATACCTTGCGGGGGGATTTGAAGTGCATCACTGCAAGATAGGTAATGCTGATATTAGTCTTAGCTTATTAACGTCAATCTGCCTTTAATATGCTACAAGTAGGCAGTACCTAATATCCTGAACACTTGAATCATTATATGTCATTTGTAATTGCAGGCTGAGTAATCCAGTGGCGTATACCAAGTACAAGAAAAATTGCTGTGATAACTGAAACAAACTTCTTACAATAACTTCGCCACTGGGATTAAAGGCACCAAACAGGAAGGTTTAACTTTGAGATGAGCTTAACGAACGTTTCTACTTTGAATAATGTCTGTAAATGTCCAAATGTTACTGGCAATTGCTCATCGGATTTATACGACAGGATGAAATGGGTTGAAATCGTCCAGGATTTTGCCCCAGCCGCCTTCTACGCTGACCGCATCGTCACACCTATCTGGTATGTGATCGGTTGCCTCGGGAACGTAACGTCTTTGATCATTTGGTCAAACAGAAGAATGCGCAAAAACAACACATCAGCTTACTATCTCTGCTGCCTTGCTCTCTCTGACTTGTGCTTTTTAGTACTTCATTTGCTAATGGAACTTAAGATTGCTTGGGGCCTTCGAACAATTGATTATCAAGTTGTTTGCGAGATATTCATGGTGTTATATTACACTCCACAATATCTTTCTCCATTGCTTATTCTAGGATTTACCGGAGAACGTTTTATGGCCGTTTGCTACCCTCTCAAAGCAGTCGTATACTGCACCAAAAAGATTACCCTTCGACTGATTTTTATTATGAGCTCTCTAGCGTTTGCCTTGTGCAGTGTCCAAGCTTATCTCTGGAAATATGATGCCATTTCTGAAGAATGCATCTTTCGCCCAGAGGCATTTGTAGGAAGCATGGCATTTGGGACATGCTGGACATGGGGAACAGAAATCCTTGGATTTGCAGTTGTGCCTGTTGTTGTGATTGGATTAAATTTAGCTGTTATAGCATCAATATGGGGTTCCCCTTTTGCGGGAAAATCGTCGTCTCACGAGTCAATTGCAATGCAAGAAATCGTCAATCATAAGAATGTCCAGAAAGGAAAGGCATCCCGTTCCAAAACCAAAACAACATCGACACTGATGCTGCTGAGTGTTTCTTTCTTTGCAATAGGCATGACTCTGCCGGCAACGATTGTATACGCCGTAAGTAATTTCATAGCCGAGGGTGACCCGTGCCTGTCTGACAGCCATGTGAGGACGGATTCAACTTGGAAGATGTATTTTGGGTATATCACGGCAAGAAAGTTGATCGAAGAAATATGCCTGTCGCATTATGCTTGTAATTTCTTCATTTACATTTGTGGAACTAAATTCAGAAAAGCCTTTCGTAACTTTTGCCACCGCAAAGCCTTTAGCTCAGATTTCAATAGATTTTCAAAAAAGAGGGAATCCAGTAGTACTGACACATTCGTCGCCAAGTCAACTTTACATCGCGTGACCAAGCATCCCTATAATTAAACATTTATTAAAAATACCTTGAATAAATTAAGGTCGCCATTAGGCCTACTGCTATCAGGGCTGACCTCTCTCTGTTACCGCCAAGTGTCACGTTAGCTCCCACCTGAGATACCAGCAAAATACGATACACACGTGTCTTAACCTTTGGGTGGATGTAAAGTCAGTAACTGTTGAAATTATGGCAAATGCATTTAAATGATATATATTGCTTACACACATTTCAAAGGAGAACGAGTGCACAGATAGTCAATTCACCGAAATGAATATCCTAGTGAAATATCGTCTACCGTTTAAATGCTAACACAACGTGTTCAAATATTCTGACATACATTTATAGCAACAAGATGATTTTCAAGAGCACTTTTTTCGTTTTGATTTACGTGATAGTCACTGTCTTTAAAACTGGAAAATGCCACTTAGAGTGGCCGTTATATGACCCATTATGTATTTTGGTACCTATATATTAGTGATGTAAAATTTAACTGCACCGACAACAATATCTCCTTGTAGCACTACGATTTTTGTCAAACCAAACTGTCTGGTCATTGTTTTAGAATGTATCACTTCTTATACCAGTGAATTCACATGAAATGGGATACGAGTAACATATGATGATGTATTTTTATACGAATATGCGTTAAGTATAACACAAATAACACCATTGATTTAAATATTTTAGTATAATTTAAATTATAAATAGCGATGTGATATAAAGTTTAAAATATACAGCGAGCTCAAATTAGGCAGGTTTGTAGTAAGCGAAGGCTTCCCAAACTATTGTGTTTGTCCCCCAGTTATACGTATTATACGTTCATTTTTGTAAAAAAAAAAAAAAAGCCCTAAAGGCTTTATTTTGACTATTTTCTTTATGAGTAGCATCAAGGTGTGTAACCTGTATTTGCTTATTCAAATTCAAAATAAATAAGAATTATTAGACATTATGGCATGTGTTTTATTGCCTTAAAGTATCTCTCAGGCATACCAGAAAATCTTATAAATCCTCATTCCACCAGTTTCTTAGTTCTAGATGCTTACTAAATTCTTATTAAATGCTGGCGTCTTGAATGAGTCTTGGGTCATGGCATATAGTCAATCAACATAAGAACTCATGTCAGGAAAGTTCATTTTAGTTCGTACAATTTACATGAGAAAACCATGTACATTTATCGATATAACAGAGACTGCACGACAAACTACACAAAAAAAGTTAATATTACGAATATATTTATATGAATTTGTTTCTTGGCAAACCAGCCATGAACAAAACATATCACCGTTCTTGAACAGTTTGACAGATAAGGTATCTTTATTATTCACATGCACGGGCTGTTGACTGAGAGGCCCTTTCGTAATGAGTCTAACGGAATGAAAAGGGGCACCTGGCGTAGATGTTAGATCCCTGGTTGTCGCATTGTGACAAACATGTATGTGCTCCGCTCAGAATTATGCACTGATGAGGAGAATTAATAATAACTTCAATTCAAAGTTTATTCAAAGTTTTTTCCAAGCACGCAAAAGTAACCCTGCGTGAGTTAACTTGGCAATGTTGTTTCTAATACTTATTCTGACAGCTTAAATTATTTTGGTATTTCACACATAATCGTGATCTATCATTGACTATTCCTTTCAAGCATTCACTAGTGCCCCAATGATGCATCCAAGGAGTGATCGCAAGAGAGGAACTTAAAGGAATTACCGATATCGCCCGAGAGGAACGTATTACCGATTAAGCATATAAGACTCATCTAGAATCCACCAATTGTAATGATTATTTTGCATAAATTAAATTTTTTTAAAAGTAGATGCTACCTATGGACACATATTGCTAAAAAAAAAAAAACAAAGAAAAGGGATCACAATGGACAAGTTAGCATCACACTTTGCTTTTCTCTCTCACTCAAAGCTCAGTTCTTGATCATTGGTTAATGTCAAATTTGTGTGGCACTCAATTTGTTTGTTTAGTCAAAGGAATATAAACAAAAAGATCAAATGCTATGCCTAAATACGTTTGGAGGACGAGTTTCTGAGAAGGGGTTATAAATTAAGCCCACCAAGTGAAAGTAACGGGTCATCTCCCGCATCTCCTATAATTTCACTAGCCGCTTGGAGTTCATACTAAATCAGGGTTTCTGTGCGATAGCAGATGATTAATACGGCGACCCAGGATAACTGGGCGCATAAAAAATCTCATCATTCAAATTTTTTTTATTCAAGACCTGAAATATCATAGGTAGTGCAATTATACAAATATTGACCGATGGGTGTGAGTTAAATGGCCATTAAGGCATTAGAACATGAATCTCCGATCGGTGAAAATAATCATTTTGTTTTATAACATGTTTTATTTCTAGTGTTTAACATTTGCTACACGAGGAACTACAAAATGTTTCCCGTTGAAGAACCAAGCAAATCGCTAAAACTGGAATGAAATATAAACTTGAAAATATATCTCTTTCTGCAGAAGAAGCCTAATAAAATAAAAGTCGTGTTATGCTTGTGCTTAATTGCATTTGGAAAAACATAGTTTCGGACTATACATAATAAACACCGTTAGCGTGATGAAAGTTTTTCCTTGGAGCTAATACCAGGTGCGTGCAATTTTAGCAGGAGGTGAACGTTCATGCATTTATTTATACACTCTTGGTAAAAAAGGTTGTCCCACCTTCAATCATATGTGCTTTTGTTTACAAATCAAATAACAGCTGTCAACATGTTTAAGTACTTTTTTATTCCATATATGATATTTAACATGACTTAAGGTCAGGAAAAGCCAAAATACTGGTGAAAATATCCATGTTTAATACCATTTATTCAAGTTAAGAACACGCACTCCTCAAATATGGGTTTCCTCAGTGATTTCCATAGAAGTAAAAATGCCATAAAATCGAAAAGACACCACCGTATGTCAGTAAATTTATACACAATTAGCATGAGAATGCGCTCTTTAAAAGTCACGTGTCTACTAGTGTATGCGTCTGCTGCAATTATCTCCTGTAGGCGGCGCGGCATGCTTAGAACAAGGGGTACAGGTTTGTGGGATATTGTCCCATTCTTCCCAAAGAGCCCGATTATTAGGGGCTTGATTTTACTCTGCATTGCGTACTCCAAATCAACCCTCAGGTACTGATAGGCTTAGTATTCAAGTTCAAAGTCTGTGGTTCCCTCCTCAGAACATTATATTTCTGCAAGAAATCAGTCAACAGACGAGAACTGTAAGTGTGTTGTCACGATAGTCACCTCTGAAGTCACCTCTTGCAAATGTAGTGAGATATCAGTTGAAAATGTCACGGTAAATGAACTCATTAAAGTTCTGTTCCGGAAATAATGGGCATGGAGTGTACCCCAAACGCAGACTGGCCCGGCACTTCGGGAGATATTACCCTGCACACACTCTTCCAAGAGGTATCCCCCAACATATCTACGGACACTCATTCGACCGTCGAAAGGGTAAAACAAAAATTTCGATTCCCCAGCAAAGGCAACTCCCTTCCAGTGACGATTGGCCAAGTTCCGGCATCTCTGAGGCCAATGGCCGTGACATTTTAACCTGATACTTCACTCCATTTGCAAGAGGTGACTTCAAGGACGACTACAGGCTTCATCATGACAACGCACTTGCTCACAAATCTCGTCTGTTGATCGATTTGCCACAAAATCGCAATGATCTGAATGGGAATCACCATCTTTTAACTTGAATACTAAACATATTGAATATCTGAGGGATGAGTTGGAGTGCACGATGCAGAGAAAATCAACCCCTTATAGTCTGAAACAACTCCGCTAAACTCTTCAGGAAGAATGGGACAATATCCTTCAAAATAGACCTGTAACCCTTGTGGGAGGCAGGCCGTACGCCTTAGACGCAAACCCTAATAGACACGTGACTTTTAAAGAGAAAAATTCTAATGTTAATTGTGTATAAATTTGATGACATTCGGTGGCGTCTTTTCGAATTTATGGCTATTTTTCACTTCTGTAGAAATCATTGTGGAAAATCATATCTGAGGGGATGCATTTTCTTTATCTATGACGTATGGAATAAAAAAAATATTTAAAACGGCTTAACAGCTGTCATGCTATCATTTGTAAACAAAAGCACTTGGGGCTAGAGGTGGAACAACGTTTTTGACCAAGAGTGTACATTTATATTACTCTTCCGTCACCCCCACCTACACCAAAACTATGTACGTAATTACAGTCATAGACTGACGATAGACATAGCTTATTTCCAGGTAACAGAAATTCGAACGTGAAATGAAATGATATAAAAATATCCAAAGACAATAACTGCGAGTCATAGGAAAAACGTAGGTCGTTTCATGTTAAGATAAGAATGCTTTTAGGCCCGATTTTGCATTAACTGTAACTATCAAAATCTAGCGGGAACTACAGATAACACAAGATGACACGTGGGGCTCTGTCGTGGTAATGGGATATAATGAAATGTTATTATCTGACTTCCCGAGGGATTTGCGATGAGCATACTAACGTTATAACGGGGATGTGCTTTTTGTCAAAACCGTTATCTCTTTTATTACTTCAACAGGCAATTACTTATTTGATCGTTATTTAGATTCTATCTCAGTGAAGTTTTGGTTTTTCATATCAGTCTGCCTTTGTGTCGATTACCAGTGATATTCTAAAACTCTCTATGCGGCTGAATATCGTAAGTAATATCGTACGACATTTATTTTCCGTGAGATTAAAAGTCGTTGATTAGGGTTCACGTCATGGCAGCATTTAACAGAATGGATACAATAGATCTAAACACCCAGGCGCACAAATTCTTATATGATTTACAAAGAGACAGCATACGAATGACTTCAAAAACAAATTATTTTGTGCGTGAAAATACGACCTCCCATGGATCTTTCCATTTTGTACAGTGCCAGATCCTTCTAAATGAACCTAATTTCAGAGTACACCCTGCTTCAGTAATCGATAGGCCTACATAAAAATGACACCTGGGGCTGGTTTATACATATCTAGCAGTTACAATT